TCCTCTCCCCCCCCCCTGCCCCCCCCCCAACCCCCCTGGCCCTCCCCGATTCCCCCATCCAGTGCTGCTTCCGATGGCCGGCTCTACCCTCCTCCTCTCCCCCCACCCCCCAACCTCCGCTAGCTACACCTCTACCGGGAGCCGGAAGATCCAGCTGCAGACTCTGCCCAGGCCGGCCAAGGTCTTGGGGGACCCAGCACCACACAGGAACTCCACTGAGGCCTGGCATTTTTTTCCTGCGGCCCAGTACTGGGCCGTGGCCCATAGTTTGGGAAACGCTGCTTTAATCTAAACCATTGGCATTCAGTATGTGTGTTTCTGGGCGGGATCACATGAGCCAGTGCAGTTGATTAGACTATACACTTCTCTGCCAATGTTCAGAGAATACCAGTGCTCCAGGAGACAGTTAAGGGGAAGATAGTGTCAGTATTTCATACAAGCTCACTGCATCTGTTCGCCATGGGAGAGTTCCAACAGCAGCTGTTCACTCTTATGGGGGGTCTAATTTTTCTGTTTACTCTGGTGAAATGTGTTAGATTTTTGAAGTATTTATTCCCACAAGCATGGAATGCTTTGCCTCCGACTTTCTTTCGCTCAATGGGAGAATGGGCAGGTAACAGAAGTTTCCTCACATTTTTATTGCTGTAATTGAGTGGTGAATTTCTGTGGTACTAATTATAAGTGGTTCTTTCACCTACCCCATTTTAGAACTAAACTTGTAACTTTTGCGGGGGGGAGCGGACGTTGGTCTTTCCCAGTGATTTTAGTTATAAAATTCCTGAAATTTCCTTACACTTGGGAATACAGGGAAATAATCAGAATTATTATAAAATATATGTTTTTAAAAATTCACTCTATAAATGTATTTTAAACTCCTCCTACATCCTTTCCCATACTGCAAACACCCCAGTTCTAACACCTTTTCCTCCTTCTGAAGTGCTTTAATTTTAATACCATTGCCTAAGTCCTTAATTTCCTGATTTAGCATTTATGACGCAAATAATTTACCATTAACAGCTGTCGCTATCGTTGGAAGCTGTTTATGTACATTCATGGTATCTTGATTCCAATGTAATTTGTCTGAAGTATCAATAATATCATTGACATACACCTTGAGAGTAGACTTGGCTGCTCCATTTTAAAGGTACCCTCAAAAGAAGACTATTACTGTTTAAAAATAAAAACATTTTCTTTATATTGAATGGTGAGGGGTTTCTGGGGCTTCTTAAATGATTAGCAATAATAGCTGAGTTGAGAAGTTATTACAGTTTTTCTGAATAACAAGTGTCTCAGATGAGTCACGTAATAGCAAGGCACCATCATCAGCATCAAATGCTAATTTTAATGTAATCTCCCCAATTGACTCCCATTAAAGTAAACAAGACCAGGATCTTGTGACTGCAATGACATTTCACTATACATGTTGCAATTTGTTATGGATTTGTGGCAACTAAAGTAACCTTTGAGCCTTATACTGAAGTGGAACTCTGGTGTGTGGGGGGGGGGAGGTAGAAAGGGAGGGACAGATACAAGTCTAGCACTGGCTGTCTGTGGAAGGTGGATTTCATTAAGTGGAAGTTCTCTGTTTGAATGCCTGATCCCATTTAAATCAATGGGCTCAGTGAAGGTTGGTAGGTTTATTTAGACAGATCTTTGCATCTCACAAAGCAGGTTAGTTTAAAGACACTAATTAAAATTGCCAGATCCAGATCAGTTAACTCTGCTTTGCCCCCTCAGACCACTGCTTTTTAATTATTGTTCTACTGGGAAATGTAACCAAGTACTGCTTGTTTTGCTGAAGGCTTCCTGACTCCATATGCAATAGGAGAATAATGTGTGTATTCAAACCTTGGCATTCAAAAGTCTCTTGTAATTCAGACTACTCAAATACGTATTTTCCAGAGGCTCACAAAACAAAATCCTTTAATGCTCACACTGCACATTTCATTCCTTTTATTATGAAGACTTTGTGGGGCTACCTCAGAATTATTCGGTTCGCACTATATGGTCAGTTTGTTCATATGGCACCCAACGCATTCTAGTTGCTGGGCCTCTGCCCCAAGGATATTTCAAGCCAAATCAAGAAGTGTTGTGAGGTGTGAAGACAAAATTAAGAGACTGGGTAGGGGAGTGAAGCGGTAAGGGTTACACAGACATGGGGGCATATTTGCTTTGGCTGCGGTCTATGTGTCGCTTTGGGATCATAGCATCTGTAAGTATTGTTCTCTAAAACAATTAAGATATGTTGTATTTTAAGGTTTGGTGGGGCAGAAGAAGTGATTAGATGGGACTGGAGTAGTGGGGAAGGATTTGCCAAACAAAGGAGCCTGAAGGAGAGAGAGAAGGAAAGAGAGGCAAAAAGAGAGAGATCCAAGGGGGACAGAGAGACCAGATGAGGACTGGGAGGATGGATGGAAAAGGCCATGGTGCTCAGTGGTGAGGTCCACTAGCAGAGTGCAGGAGGAGTGGTCCATTACAATAGCTTCTCACTGGGTCATGGAGAGTAATGGGAACTGGCAGGCCTGGATTCACTCCTTGCATCCTCTACTGCTGGCTGGAGACTAGAGCAGCCACATTTGCTACTGTGATTTACAGGCCATCTTGACGGGGTATGTTTACACTGCAGTGAATAACCCACAGCTGGCCTGGGTCAGTTAACTCAGGAGCCTGGGTTCTGGGCCCAAACTGCTGCAGTGCAATTTTATTGTCCCACAGCCTGGTCCATCTAAGTTGCTCCAACAAGCTGAGGATGTTTTATTGCAGTGCAAACTTATCCATGGGTTGGTCTTGCCATGGAGAGTGGGGAAGAGACAAAGAGTTTGTTATATTACTCAGT